ACCACAACTTCCACCACCACCAAACTCCGAACACTCCTGCTGCCACCTCTGCCACCATGTTCATGGACTCGAGCATATCCATCTCCTCCTCACTGAACAACCACGGTAACAATCACCACTGAACGATGGATAGTGCCGATGGCCACCCACTGTCACTCGCCAATGGCTGGGGGCAGTGGGTAGCGAAAGCTGCGGAACTGAATCTTTTCAGTCTCTGCTAGGCCACACACTGCCACACACCCTCTAATGCTTGTCCCCTTTACTTTTTTGTTCCTCTTTTTTCTCTCTTTCTCTAATGGTTTCATCGATGACCACCACTTCACTCTGGCCACCGCGCTCACTTTGTCTCTGTCCCTGTCTGTCCTCTCTGTCCTTTTGTCTCTGTTTTTGCTTTCAATTTCACATGCAATCTCCACTCTACTCATCTCAACTCACCCAAAACCAAATGATCATCACGGACCTGCAGATTTGTCCCTAGATCTGGACAATTACGGTTACAATTACTACCTAGGTTAGCCCCAACTAGAGTTTTTTCTGCTGCTCCTTTTGCTCATTTTCGCTTTTCTTGTTGTGGTTGTTGCTGTTGTTGTTGTTTCCTTCTCACATTGCCTGACATTTTGCCGTGTTTAGTTATTCAACTGCCCAAACTGATAGAGTTTCTGGCTGGGTACGATTACGCTCTGCTGGCCAGCAGACAGTCGGTCGATTAGCCGACCACTGCTGCTGCTGCCGCAATCAGCTGCTCTACCTGCACGTATTACCATTCTGCTCATTACTATTGCACCTGATGATGATGATGATGTGGTTACTGTTGCTGTTGCTGTTGTGTGTTACCTCGATCTATTATTCATTATTGCCCACCAGCACTACTTCAATCACTGGCCCGGGTTTTGTTGCTCTTCGTTTCTGGTGTGCTCTTGTTGTCATCGCTTCACTGTGTGTGTGTTTGTGTGCTTCACTCACTGCTTTCCTTTGCTTTCCTTTCCATCTGCATGCTAAGCAAAAACAAAAAAATTTGCAATTATCTTTAGCGGCTTCAATCGATCAAGCCCTCGAGTACTCAAGTTTGTCACTTCCTTGGAAACCCATTTTTGCACTGCCTTTTCAGTGTAGAGTTTTTGTGCGTTTACTATCTTCATTTTTTTAGACAGCTTTAGTGTTTTCGTAGTGTCTGCCTCTCTCGGTGATGAGTACGTTTTTGAGGACTTTTGCATTCTCTTAGCAAGACTAGCAACCTAATTACCAAGAGGCGCAGTGTCAATTAGCTTTTGTGTGTGATCTCTACTCGTACTGCCAATCGTTGTGTGTGTGCTTTGCTTTCTTGCTTTGGTTCATTCCTTCTCTGCACCTAAACATACTGGGAAACTAGTGCTACTTGTGTGTGTGGTTAAGCAATTGTTTCAAAAGGGCTTCCCCCTTCACTACATTTTACTTCCCTAACCTTTACAGGGGCTCAGTGGCAAGTAATCGGAATGGCGGTATATTAGCTGTACAGCAGTAGAGAGTTTGTCGGTTGGGTCGGTGTTGGTTTGTAGTAGCCCGTATTAATGTCTGTGTGTTTGGTTGTGGTACGTCAACGACGGCAACGACACTTAGGTGGCCGATTTGAGGACAGCTGCAGCTCGTGTGCACTGTTCACTAGTTTCGGTCGTTGTTCCTGCTGCTGTCGTTGCCGGTCCTGGCACCTGTCTCTCTTCTGCGACCATGTTTATCTTTAGTGTGCGTGAGACGACAGTTGACACACAGTTGTTAGCACTAGCAGCAGAAGCCTCTGACGCTACCCAATTGCCATTACCTGTGTCACTGTGCCATTAATTCTCCTCCGATCCGATCCCTACTACTGTCTACCTACTGCTACTGTCCACTATCGCCGACAAATGCACACACACACGCCGACTAGTGTTGCCTAGTGTTTTACTACTCCTCGCTTTGGCCTTGCACATCCGTTTTCAGTTATCCGCCTCTTGCACTACTGTTTTGCTGTGCTCTTTCACTTTCACGTGTTTTTAATTGTTAAACTTGCTATTTTCTTAAACTACTTTAAAATAACCGTCTACCTTTCTTAATTTGATCATCATCATCACCACGTCATGTCCTTTGAATCTCAAACCTACTACAAAGGTGATCCACTCAACATCCACGACCCGTCTGAGGCGGAGCTGGGCGGCGTCGGGCCTGAGTCTGATGGTCGCTTTGCGAAGCGCTCTCGCAAGCTGATGCGCGGCTTCTTCCTCATGGTCATCATCGCCCTCAGCTGGGTGACCACGGTGCACACCGTCAAGATGAGCTTCCACACTGATCGAGTCCTGCTGACCGTCTCGCCGGGCAACTACTCCGCCAGCAGCAGCAGTGGCAGTCACCAGGCAATTCCACCACTCGGTGCCATTCCCGGTGGCAGGCAAACCGGCGGCAGAAATGTTCGCCAGCTGCCTCAACAAGCGGCTCACAACGAAACGGCGCCTAACAACATTGTCAGTCCGCCGCAGTCAGTGCCTCAGTTGGCGGCCCTACCACCTGGCAGTGGGCCATCAACCCGAAGAGTGAGTGATGCCGTTTCACTTTTCTTTCTTCTTTTCTTTCCTTGATGTCTTGTTATTGAGTAACCTGCCAAATCTCTCCCTTGTTGACGCAGCCAACAAGCACCATTAGCCTTCATCGGTCGTCATCCAGTGGTAAGGCGACGCTAAAAGCGAACACCAGCAATGAGTATCCAAAGTCGAGGTTCGACGCGCCATACTTTGTCACCTGGTACATCACCGTGTGGAATCTCTTCTACCTGCCCATCTACCTGATGATCCACTTCTGCTGTCTGAGTCGACAGGCGAAGAGCAGCAGCAGTGCCGCGGAGTCAAACAGCGCCAGCGTGGGCAGCAGTGCCGTCAGCAATAATGGCGCCTTTGGCAGCAACACCACCACCAACAAGGTGGGCTCGGCCAAAGCCGACTCCTCCACCACCGACGAGGGCAGTACCACATCTATGAAGAAGGTTTTCATGTAAGTTTTGAAGTGGTACATTCTGATCAGATAATAATGCAAAAATCCAATTTGTAGTGAAAGCATTCAGGGGCTGATGGACAAAGGCTTCACCTGGGTGCAGTTCATGTGGCGCATTGCCTTCTTTTCCACTCTGGCGCTGCTCTCCAATTATATGCTCTACTTTACGCTGCGCATCCTCAGCGCCACTGTGGTGCTGTGCATCTTTGCCACCACCGTCTCCATCAACTACCTCCTCTCCTGGGTAGTCCTCCACCAGCAGTTTGTTGGCATCAGGGTAAGGCAGAAGAGCTTTGCGACTGGTTTACACGATTCAATTTCATATGTTTCTTTTTCAAGATTGTGGCCATCATCATCACCGACACTGGCATTGCAGTGCTCGCCTACATGGACGGCGTACAGCACCGGACACTGGCCGCAGTGATGATCACCTTTGGTGGTGGCATCGTCTACGCCGTCTACAAGGTGCTGATGCGTCGAATGATCGGCTACACCACATTCGCCCAGATGGCTCTCTTTCACACGCTGGTGGGCGTCTTCACCCTTCTCTTCACCTGGCCGCTGGTCTTTCTACTGTACTGGACCAGCATCGAGACTATCATCTGGTCGGAAATTCCTTGGGGCTTCATCACGCTGGGCGCCTTCTCTGCCTTTATGGCCAATGTCGTCGCCAGCTTTGGCGTCATCTGCACCTACGAGTCATTCCTCACGCTGGGCATGTTTTTTGCTGTGCTTATCTCTGCTTGTGAGTACTTTTAAGCAAAGTTTCATGACATGATTTGCTAAATTGGTTTTGTTTTTGTGAATTTTCAGTGATCGACATCTACATCAACCTGATGATCTTCAAGGACATGAAACTGGGCGGCGTCATCCTCTGCCTGACCGGCTTCATGGTCGTCCTGCTGCCGGACAACTGGAACAGCTACATGACCAACATCTTCCGAAAGCGCATCGCCAACTGGAAGAAGCGAGAGGCACTGAAGAAGAGCATGGTCCGCGGACCGGCGGACACCTCCACCGGACAGCTTTCCCGACTTCGGACGTCCAGTGGGCGGGTCAAGTGACATCAGGTGTCGGCGATGGCCGACAAATACTAATTACTGGTTGCAATTTGCGATCAAACACAACCCCTGCTCACCTTCTCAACGCTGCTCTCTCATTCTGGTCGTCCACCTCTTCCAAATATGCTCACTCGATCTCAACCCCTTCTTTTCTTTTGTGATATTGTACCTCCGCTGTATATTTTCCAGTTTTTTTCAGTTCGACACTTTGTTTGTTTGTTTTTGTTTTGTTGTTTTCACCACTGTTACTCAGCACTGTTGACCCTTCCTTGTTCCCCTTTTTCTTTGGTAAAAACAAAACAGATAAAGAAAAACTCCACCAGAAAGTTCTTCGTCAGAACAAAAATGACCAATCTTTTGTAACATTCTCTGTTTCCTTCGAGCCAAAGCTACTGAAATCAAACTTTTAACAAAATTAACAACACAGTGATCAACGTTTTATAACAATTTTTGTTTGTGTTATTTTTTCAATACTACGTTTATTATGATTTTTGTAAATATCATTAAATTACACGTTTATACAGGTTTTGTGTCTTTCTTTGTTGGTCTATTGTTTTGACACAGCTGTTTGAACTACTACTGTTTGTTAAAATTATGCAAATGTCAGTCTTTGTACAGTTGTGTTAAATGATGATGATGACATTTGAAGTGTTTTGACTAGAGAACACACTCGTTTTGTATCGGACAGATAATCGAAAAAAAATATTTGTAAAAAGAAGGCAGTCTGAGTGAACACATGAATATCAGTGTGGTCATAATTCTGACCGTTAGGTATTATTTACATGGCTAGTAACTTTTTGGTGATAGTAAACACAGGACTATGGTACAGAAGTTAAAAGTGATAAGGGAGAAAAAGGGTCTTTTTGAAGTAGTAAAGGCACATTAGATTGCATTGTTCAGTAGTTGATGTCCTTTTTCGAATCCGTTTCGGTTTTTTGCGCGAGATCAGTAATCAGCTCCTGGTAGATGACACTGTCGATGTTCTGGCCCAGCATGTACACTAGTNTTTTTCGAATCCGTTTCGGTTTTTTGCGCGAGATCAGTAATCAGCTCCTGGTAGATGACACTGTCGATGTTCTGGCCCAGCATGTACACTAGTGAAAATGAAAAGTGAAAAGATGAGTAGGGCGTGTTAAAGTAAAATATATTGACACATTCCATAGCTGTGTGATGCACGGTGATTAATCGCAGTAGTAGCACACTTCGATTGACAAGTGGAAGAAGCTGAGGAGAGAAAAAGAAAGAACTACTCTGATTTGGCTGCTCTTCCTTCCGTCCTACCGCTCACTGTGCATCTGTTTATAAGCAAATCAATCAACTGCGCTCCTTTTCCACTACTTGGCTCTTCTCTTTTGCCACTTTCAACGAGTGATTCGCCATTGGGTTCGGCAGTGCGCTCTTGAATCCAACGCTGGCAAATGCCACTGCGTACTGGGCCAACTATTGACAAACGACGGCTGCCGAAGAAGACGAATGCCTTTGACAGACGATGGCCTCCTGACAGACACGGCGGCGGCAGCGTCACTGACACGCGCCACTGCAAATCGGAGTAAATCAACGTCACCACAGACATTGGTAGGCAAAGCTCAATCGACCGTCTAATGATCACTGCCAATATGGCAGCTCACTAGTGCACACAACAAACACCCACTCACTATTAGTACTTCATTAGTGAGCTCATCATTATCATCATCACCATTAGCTGTGCCTTACCTAGAAACCAGTCGCCAATGGACATCTTCCTGACGATGGTGTGCAGGTGGTCCAGTGAGCCGAGTTTGAAGCGTAGACTGAGCATGTAGACGCGCACTGGCGGACAGGCGATGATGATGAGGCGGAAGAGAATGACAGCGGCGGTGAGGGCGCCCAGAATGAGGAACCAGAACCAGAGGAAGATGTAGATCTTCTCATTGACAATGTTCAGCGGCAGCAGACAGAGGGCATCGTGCGTCTCGATGTTCGCACTGGGGCCGTACTTGTAGAAACGGCACTTGGTCACGCGTGGAAAGATGCGAATCATCGGGTCGATTCGTTCTTCTGTCAGGGGAAAAAGGAAGGGAAGAAAAAGGCAGAAAAGAAGAAGATGTTAAAGTGAGGAAGGCAGTTAGTGTTCAGCAGTTTAATTAACTCTCACTGGCATCAGCAGCAGCAAATTGTGCGCCTGGTGTGCTGTTGAGAGGGGCACATGTACACACACAAACACAGAGAAAGAAGTGGCAGTCACTTGAAGCGGCCGATTTGCTTCAAACGAAGCCTAGGCTAACTGTTTTTTATTTTTAGCTTCAGAAGCCAATTGAAAATCACCAGCGACTGGTGCAGTAGTGCTCCTCGGGTAAAGTGAGAGAGAGAGAGAGAGAGAGAGAGAGAGAGCACACAAACGATCTCCTCTTCTCTCATATCAAGTAACGAACCTTTTTAAAATTGAACCAGCGCACTGGTGCTTACTACTCTGCCGCTCTTGTTTGCTGCTGCTGCTGTCCTATTTGTTTATAAATATCAATCTCGCTCACTAAATCACCGCCTTTCTTTGAGATGCTGTAAAAAAGCTGCTGTACATTTTTTCCATTCTTCTCAGCAGTGGTAATGAATGGCAGTGCTTTCAGCAGTAATTTTCACATACAAGCTAGTTAGGAGAATCAGCATCAGAATCTTTGAGTTGATATCAACATGACAGAATACTCACTGAGCAAACGAGTGGGAATTTCACTTGATCATTAGCTGATTTGACCTGATGTGTGTTTACTTGCCTAAGGACTACATTAGCAGAAACACTGTACAATAGTGAACCTTACTCTGTTGAGGTAAATGATCTCTTCTGTTTATTGATTGCGCAACAGATGCTACCACTGAAGTTAGTGAGTACTCTACCACTCTACTGCCACCCCATTCCACTGCGTGTCCATCTAATCATGATAACATCTAATGAACTGCTGCAGCACAGTCTGACTGTGGTAGTTCTGTTAGCGATGGTAGTATTAGTAGTCCTTCTTCTTCCACTACTTCCCTTGCTGTGATACAGTAGTGCATCAAAAATAGCACCTCTCGGGAAGTAGTGCTGCTGCCTGTCTGCCGTCCCGGCGACTGCCACGAGCGCAGTGTGCAAGTGTGCCCTCTCTTCAGGAGTGAATCACAGAAAAGATGGAAAGAGGGGCAGCAGCAGCAACATCAGCACAGCAGTAGACCAAATGGCTCGACAATGGATCAGCAGCAACAGCCAACGTAAACACTGCCCACCCGAGACTTCTGCCTGACTCCCTTCTGGTGCTGAGGACGATGACTCAAGCCAGTGAGCACAGTCAGGCACACAAAGCCACACAGGAACTGGCTCAGATTGACGAGGCACTAGGGCGCCATTAGGGTGCCACTGCTGCTGTTGCCACTGTTGTCCGGAGGCTAAGAATAGACGAGTGGAGAAGAATGGATTGTTTGTTTGTGCAGATGAAGACTGAGGCTGGTGAAGATGCATCATCGGTGCAGCAAGCACAGCAGCTGCTGCCCTCCGTGACACTATCCATTTTGGCAATAGCTGGTAGCCCGCAAAGACCACAACTGAATTGAGTCAAAGCTGAACACCTCTCTCTCTCTCTCTCTTTCTCTTTCCCTTTCACCTAAAATTACATCGCTTGTTAGCGTCGGCTGTTGCATCAGGAGTCCTAAAATGTGTTAACTCGCCAATAAAATGAGATTCTGGTGCCAGTTTAAAAATGAATTAAGTTAAAGTCAGTATGCTGGACGTACAGTCCTGGTGCTTGTTGGTAGTGGCGGTGGTGTCAGATGACTGAGCCAGCCAACTGAGTCAGCACCATTTTGATGGTGGAAATGCAGTCAGACGGTGCAGTCAATCTTCTCTGAGCACTCCTTCACTGAGCTTTATTAGCCCCCAATTAATTACTACATTTCCTACTATTTTCTGCTATTTTCAAGCTTGCAGACTTTCGTTTTTCTAAAAGTGAGTCTTTGTTTTGGTTGAAGTTGCCGAACTGAGCTGTTGTGGAGTTCAACAAAGCCAAATGTATTCGTTGTTTTTGATTACCTCTCTTGCACTCTTATCCCAATGTGTTTTTTGTCACACAAAGAACTACTGCAGACTAGGTCAGAGACAGCAACGGTTTGTTACAGTGATGCACATTCTGATGTTGCCCAAAAATAGTGACACAAAACAGCGAGGGTGACAAAAAGACTGACAGAAAAAACCCAAAATGAAAGAAACTTTAAAAAGTTGCAATCGTTTGTTTT